GGGGGGAGGAAGAAGTCGGAAAAGACAAAATCGCGTCGCCACGTCTGACGTGTTACGACACCAGGGCTACTACATTGTGTTTTGTTTGTTTTAGTAGAGGTTTTACGGCGCTCGCAACTGAATAAGGTCATATGAGCGCCAGAAGATTAGAGGTGTTACAAGAGAGTAGTAAACATAAAAAAGAAGAAGGGGAGATGAGGACGACAGATGTTTGATAGGAAAAGAATGAGCAAACCACACCAGACCACCCGCCAATCACCCACCTACTACATTGTCTGTCTCAGAACGTAGAGTTTAGTTCTAGTAATGTGTTAACGGAACTTGCAACAGAAATAGGTCAAATAAGGAGTGCCGAATATTACAGGCGTCACAAAAGAGTAACAAACACAACAACGGAGCGGAGATAAAGACGATAGATCAGATGTTTGAGACAAAAGAAGGAGCAAACCACACTAGAGCACCACCAACCACCCACTATACTAGTAATACTTTTACGGCACTTGCAACACAAATAGGTCATAATACGCGTGCCGAAGAATAGAAGAGGTGTTACCAGGATAAGTACGGTACAAAGAAAAGAATTAAGAAGAAGGAGAGATGAGGACGCTAGATATTTGGCGCGAAAAAAGAAGCAAATCACACCGGAACACCCGTCAACCACCTACCCAAAACCTCGAGGTTGAGTAAAGAGAAGCGAATTGAACATTAGTGGGCCAATTCTTCCAAGGAGCAAAAAAAAAAAAGACAGAAAGAAAGAAAGATAAAGAAAGACAGAAACAATAGAAAGAAAAGAGTAAAGAATTCAAAGAAGACACAATCGCGTTTTAACGTCTGACGTGTCACGACCGACGCCAGGGCTAAGTTACTGTATTGTCTGTCTCAGAACGTCGAGTTTGAGCAAAGAGAAAGTAGGTATTGCATTCATTGACACACTCACGACCCATTTCGGGGGAAAGCTAAAATAGAAAGAGAGAGAGGGAGAGGGAGAGAGAGAGGGGGGAGAGAGAGAAAGAGAGAGAGAGAGACAGTGAGAGAGAGAGAGAGAGAGAGAGAGAGAAAGAGAGAGAGAGAGAGAGGGGGGGTTAGATAGATAGATAGATAGATAGATAGATAGATAGATAGATAGATAGATAGATAG